GTTTAGATTGGACATCGGGAAGAATTTTTTCACAGAAAGGGTGATTAGACATTGGAATGGGCTGCCCGGGGAGGTGGTGGAGTCACTGTCCGTGGAGATGTTTAAGGAAAGTCTGGACGTGGCACTCGGTGACGGGGTCTGACGGACGCAGTGGTGACTGGTTATGGGTGGGAATCGATGATCTCAGAGGTCTTTCCCAACCTGATTGATTCTGTGACTCTGTGTGGTTCTGTAATATTTCTGACTTATTAAGTGTATCGTAGCTTAAAACATCTCCACCCGTGGCTTTCCACCCCGGGTGCCTGGACCACATTTCAGTGCTGGGGAGGTACCTGGGCCACGTTCGATGCTGGGGAGGTGCCACACTGGTGCAGCGCCCTTGGCAAGCACAGAGGTGCCAAAGGCCAAGTGTCGCTCCTGAACTAGGCTGTGATTTCCCTCTTCAACGAATGTTTTCCCCATTTCGCCTGCAGACATTTCCCAGAGGTGCTTGAGCTTCCCTCTGCTCGGTGGTGACACCCAGTTATGGCAGAAACCCCCGTGCCCCCTGCCTGCCATAAATAACACACAGCACCCTGCAGGTAAATGGCACCGCCCTGGTTTTTTACCTTCACAGACCAGTGCCCCTTTACCATGAGGAGAGGGGTATGGGAATTGGCAGGGTGCTGCTGAAATCCAGTTTCAAGAGGCGGATGTGTGGGAGGCACAGGCAGCCCTGCCTTCATCCTTCCTGGCTAAAGCTCCCTGTACGGTCTCTGGGAAAAACCAGGCAACTCCCAGGATGAGCCTGTCCGTTTTGGGGTGAGACAACTCCCCTCTGCCTCTGCTTGTCCCTTGGCTTTTTAAGAAAACCGAAAGTGCAAAGACCTAAAGTGCTCTGCAAATTTTTCATCCCAGTCCACTTGACCTGGGAGCATCCCTTTGCATTTTGTACCACCAGATGAGTGCAGTGGCTTACTGCATGCTGTCTTCTTAACATCAGGGAAGATGCTCCTCTTTCTGTCCCAGATTCACCAGCAGGAAAAAAGTCCTGGGTTCACTCCAGGACTTCAGCAAAGTCCTGAGCCTTTTCTCCAAACATTGATAGGAGCTTGCTGTTATCTTCAGTGCAAGAGCAGCCCTACTCCTGTCCTTGCACTGGTAATTAAAATGCTTTGATTTAAATCTGTCGCTCCATTCCTACAGCTCAGCTCTCCTGTGACCCCCACATCCAACACCTGCCAGCCAAGAACACTATGTAGATGTTCTCCGGATAGGACCAGAGCAAATTTGTATAGCTGTCCTGGGTAATTACAGGATAATTACAGGCATGATTTATAGGGTAAGAAACACAGATAACTTTTTATCTGCCAGCAATAAAACTAATTCCAGTGACCTGTCTTACTGTGGTGAAACCAGGAGAAAACCCTCCCTCCTTCACTGAGTTTTGTGGAAGTAAGGGAGTAATCAAGACTGAGCACCAACTGTGTTGCTTAGGATGAAGGTAACCAAAACCAGCAAATTTTGGTAAAACTCTTGAGTCCTCAGAGCTCTGGCAGTGTCCTTTTAGGAAATAAAGCTGCTGGGCTGATAAGGTCGGTCCACACCCAAGCAACTTCTCCTGACTCCTTTGGCAGGCATCAGCTGGAGGACGGATGGAGGAGAGGCTGTGCAGCACAAAACCAAAAAAAACCACTTAATTGCCCTAGAGCTGTATTAAAATGAAGGAGAGGTTTGCAGCCTCCCGATGATGATGCTCCCAAAACACCAACCAGGAATGCTCAAGGAGCAACATGCTGGCAGCCCATCCATCTGCACCAACATTTTGGGTTAAGTAGACATAGAAATGCCAAAAACAAGTCAAAAGGGCCCGAATGAAAATTAGGCTTTTGCTCCCCCCATGCCTGATGTCACCATTTCACCCAGGCGGTTCAGCATCTTCTGGGAACATCAGGCTGGACTGCATCACAAAGTACCAGCTTGTTATTGGAATCAAGGCACCAAACCCAAACCACCGCCTGGTTTTATGGCTCAAAAATAAACTGCCCCGTAAATATGCCTCGAAAATAAATAAATAAAATTATCGTGATTTCCTTTGGTTTTGTCAACAGAGAAGTTTACGCCAATGCAAGACGCTGCCAAAAGAACTGGTCCTGTCCTCCCCTTACTCCATCCCTTCTCCCCATCCCACTTTTGGCTCAGCACTGGCAGTTTTTGGCTGGGAAAGTCATCTTTTGGGTGGGCTCATTTCTGGTTTGCAAGTGGGTGGTGGCAAGGGGAGGTGGAAAAGCCCTTATGGATACCCAGCATCATCCTTGCATCGCACTCTCATTTATTTCTTCTTCAGCATTCCTTGTTAAGTTTCCCACTGAGGATATTAACTTTCCCTCTCTCCTCTGTCTGTTTTTCAGTCGCTTCATTTATTGCCAGTTAACTGACTCGTTCGAGCTGAGCAGGGTCAGCAGATAATGGGAATCTGGCCATTTTTGGGGGAAAAGACACAGTGCAAATGCCAAGGAAATATGGCCAGGAGGCACTTGGAAAGCCAAGGTGTGAACATTTTAATTTACTGACTAGGAAATAATAGAAAAAAACTTTTTTGTTGTTACCCAAATAGTATAAATAGTAACACAGGTGCTTTATGGCCATTTCTCAGTTAATTATATATATTTAATAATGATATATGCTACAAATATGGTATCTACACATAATACACATAATATATAATATCATAGTAATATGTATATATGATTTCTGTATCTTACGTATATTATCCACACATGATATATTTTTCTACATTATATAAATATATATTTACAGCTTTTTCTATAGTATAAATATACATTTAGAAATCCAAGCATTTTTGTTATATACATATAATCCCAGGAGGTGTATCTGGGCATCCAGCAAAGCAAGCATGGATCCCCAAGGATCTGCATATGTATGTATGTGTGTATGTGTGTATAAAAACATATATGTCTATCAAATATATATTAATATATAATTAATATATAATTGTGTGTTCTGTATATCTTATGTATTTATATTTTAAATATTTATAAATTTATATTATAAATGCATGTATTTACACAGTTTATAAAACCTATATAATATATGTATAGTTATAGATTGTAATTTTTCTTTTTTATTTTTCCCAGTGAGTGACTGGGAAATGGTAAAAATGAACCTCTCAGCCCTCTTGGGTGGGGCACACAGGGCACGCTGCACCTGAGCTCCGCCAACTCCTGTTTGTCCAGCGAGTGCACCAACCACCTGACACATTCCCGGTTGCTCCTCCGGAGCTTTGTTTCCTGTGACCAACACCCATTTGCACTATTTCCTAGACAAGCAAGGGCTCATCAGCGAGTGCCATCGGTCCCACTCCTGCTTTCCCTTTGAACTGTCTCTGCGGGCTGGGGAACAGCCAAGTTCAAACAACCCGTGCTCGGGCATCAGCCTGGGAGGACATAGAGCATTAACGGATTTAATAGCACCAAACAGATCAAAGCTTTCAAATTGCATAATTAAAAAATATCCCCGAGGCACCAGTCTGTGATACCACAGGACGCCAACATGGGGTGCAGAAACCTGTGACTACATTCATCTGAAATATTTCCCAAGTGTTTAAAAAGGTGTAAAAATCCACTATTTATTTTATTTTAAAACACATTTTATTCCAACATATGAACCATGTGTAGTGGAACAATGGCTGTGCAAGCAGGACATGGGGCAGGGAGAACCCTGTTTCTTAAAATAAAGATTAAAATAAAATATTTTTTTTAATTCTATGCCTTTCTCTCTCTCTTACTTTTCCATGTTTAAAGCATGGACACACAGCGCACCTTTGGGGCAACAGCTGAAAGCCACTGAGTCAGAAACAAGCCTGGTTGCACCTAAAAAATCTCCTGTTAACAACCTCACTGGGGATGGTCCGGAGGTCTCGGATGCTCCCCCTTGGATCTGCAGGATTCTTGAACAGTGTTTTTGTAGCATAGCCAACAGGGAACACAGCAGAGGCGGCAAGGGCAGGGTCTCCTGGTTTGGGGGCGTTCAGTGGTGGTGGGAATAGCTGGAGCTGTTCAGGCGCCACAAGGGAATGGGGGTTATTTTGTCCACAGATAGGCTGGACAAAAGCTCTGGAATAACTCTGTGTCTATTTTTAACTCCCTTCTTGCAGGAATTTTGCAGCGCCTGGTGGCACGCTGGCATGCACACGGCATGCACAGCGCTCCCGATGCGAGTCTGAGGGCAGGATAATGTCATTTGGAATAACGAAGCCCTTCTTGGTCTGGAGGTGCTGGAGGCATTGACCAGCTAGAGGTTTCTATAGGCCCTGTCCTGTCAGCTGCTTCTCTGCACGCTCAAAGTCTTCCTACTGATATTTCATAGGAAACAAATCCCTCAGGATGAGCCCTTATGGCAAACGACAGATGAGCCTCGTCCTTACCACCACCCGGTCGTCACACTTTCACATTTGCCCCTGGGCCTGTTCCCACCACTATAATTAACCACAAATCAGGTGTCAGCTTGCTCTGTTGGACATGGCTGTAGAAATTCTTGGCATGGTGCTCTTCCTTTCAGGGCTGGGAGCCAAGCTCTGGAGACACAGGAGAAAAACAGCTCATTATGCCTGCAGTGGGGTGAGAGCTTTCCCCTATCTCCCCTACATGCTCAAGGCTAGATCCGGGACCTAGTTGAGACAAAGTGACCGTGGCTGGACATCTGTGTGTCCAGTCGGCAATCCCAGGTGGGGAGAGTGTCACAGCACTATGCCAGGCTCTGCCAGCTCCCAGCATCTGCATCCAGGGTCAAGCAGGTCCCCTGCAACAAGGAGCATGGTGGTGGACCTTGGAATGCTGGCAATGGGGGGCCTAACATGGGCCTGGAGGTCTGGAAGGGGTGGGACTGAGCCACTGGATGAGCCTCCCTCGCTGCCCCAGTGAGGCTGACTGGGGATGCTAACAGCAAACCTTCCTAGCCCAGAGGATTAGGGACTAGCACTGCTGGTGACTCCTCCTGTGGGTTTGGTGAAATGTCTCAGAGGGGGTTTGGTGACTGACTGGCAGCTGGAGGTAAGGGAAAGAGAGATGGTTATCAAGTCACTCCACTTGACCAAGTGGAGCATGAAGAGGTGTTTGACCGGCCAGTAGTTAGGTCTTAAATGTTGGACATACAGAAAGAAGGGCCATGCACTGGGGCATGGTGAACCTGGCAATGTAAAAAAACAAACGTGGATTAAGAACAAGACTAAAGGAATTGTTATCTCTGGTTTCTCCACCAATAGACCATGGGTTTTTTCTAATGAGTCATAGATCTGCAGAAAAGCAGAGGCCAACAACAACCTCTGGAGGTCCCTCCTCCAACCTCTGCTAGATCATGTTGCTCAGGGCCAAGGTTTTCATCTCCCGAAACAGAGATCCCACAGCCTCACTGGGCTCCATCATTGGATCACCCTCACAGAGAACACATTTTTACTTAATGTCCAACTGACACTTCTCATCTTTCACCTTGTGCCCATTGCCTGCCCTTATACTTCCCCTGCACACCTCCAAGAGGAGCCTGGCTCCATCTCCATCTCTGCTATGGCATTTCCCTTTACTGGGCTTTGTGAGGTTCCTGACAGACCATTTCTAGGGCTGAAGTTGTCAGGTCTCCTCTCTGGGTAGTTCCTGTTCTCAGTCATGAGAGAGGAACTGAAACTACCGACATGTCTTAATACAAAATCCCAGATTATCACAACAGGGAATGCCTTCAAGTAGTTAAGGGACACATGCCTAAGTACAGTAGTTTATGATTCATGCAATGAGGTGTACAGAATTTCAGTATTTACTTCTAGAGGTAAGTTTAATTTAAGGTAACATTAGAATCTGAATGAAAAGGGAATTATGTAATATTCTCATGGAGTTGAACAGCAGCAGAGCCTTAAGGTGAGAGAGAAGGTTAACCCTTAGTTATAGATCAATTTAACCACAAATTAGAACAGTAAATTTATCTGTGCTAAAATGTCCATCTCCTATCCCCACCGATCACAAAAAATAGTTTGACTGTATACTTACTTAACAACTACCTCTATATCTATTTCTTGTATCTGCAATTCTGTATTAACCACGTGCTATCAAATTTAAAGAGGAAAAAAAGCAGAACAAACAAAATCTGAGCTTCCTTCTGACTGCTGAGTTTCTTAACATATACACACATTAATCCCCAGGTTAAATAAGGACAAGAAGTACACGGGAAAAACCCACTTGCATCGTTCAATGTTGTGTTTGTCCAGCAGCCCTGCCCTCCAGCGTACCAGGGACTGTGCCTGGACTTCTGCAGCAGCCCCAGCTTTTCACAGCTCTCTCCCTACCAATGTCCCCTGCAGAGAGGTGACTTTTTTTTTTCCAATTCAGGACATTTCTGAATATTTTTTCTTGCACAGTTACCCAACCAGCTGGTTTCTGAGGGAAAACAAAGCCCAAGCTCACAAGTACACGTGCAGCAGCACAGTGGACTTTGTCCCAGAGAGGGAATGGTGCTTTCAGCCAACTCCTAGTCCTGCAGTGCTGCAAAACCAAGCAGAAGACCAACCCCAATGTGTCCAAGTGACCCTTTCCCCCCCCCTGAAATGCATAAAATTAATCCACTTCCATTTTATTTCTTGCAGTGGTTGTGTCCCTTACCAGCAGACCACCACCACCTTCCCAAGCATGTGCAGGATTACCTACACCACTATTGGAGTAAGGTAGTAAGGAACACTATTGGAGTAAGGAACATCACCTGTTCTCAAGCATGTAAAAATTCTCGAGGCCACCAGATCTTTTCTGGGCCCCTGTGGTTCGACTGGCAGAAGTGTATCCCTTGATGGTGGTGCTGCCAAGCACTCTGAGGGTGGAGCAGCCCTCAGTGCTGCCATGTCCTCAGTGCTGCCTTTAAGGGAGCTGGCAGAAAAAAACTGGACCCACTGCTTTGTTTTGTGTTAGTGGGCTACAGGTTGGGGTGACAGGATCGAGAAGATCCAACAGGAAGACGCAACTGAAGCCATCCCAAAACTGAATCGGCAACGTGAAGGTTCCTGACAGCCAAATGCCTCTCCACAGCTGCTTCTCATAGACATAACACGTGGTGTAAATACCACCTTCATGAGGTCACACTGCAGTAAGTTCACAGAGGAGGAATGAGGCGTCCTCATGGGATTTGGCAGGCTCTTGCTGGAGCAGATTCAGGATGGCCTCAAGCCTGGGGCCACGGCTCGGTGAGGTTGTCCTGCCCATGGGAGAAATCTGCAAAGAACCTGTGGTCCTGTTGGGCCCCCTAAGTCCCTTCAGGTGCTTATATTTAGGGAGATTTAGGAGGAAGACAAGAAATCCCAGATGCTAACCCATTTCAAGTCAGAGAGTTGTTATCATTGACTTGTTGCCTTCATCATGTTTTAATTTTAGACCTGCTCATTTTGGGCACATTCTCTGAAACTGTAGTCTATAATAGGAAGGAGAAGATTATGTGTTTATCACTACAAATGATCATGTTTCTCATGTCTTCCATGTCACTTTCTAGCCAAGTCATCCACTGCCAGGCAACCTCCCTGGAGCCCCTAGGAAATGCTCTCGAGGATTTTTGTGGTAGGACAGTGGTAGGACACTCCCCACAAAGTCTGCTCTGGTTTTTTACCCCTTCTGCAGTGGAAATGGGTGCATTTCATCCTTTTAGCTCTTGTCTGATACACACTGGACTTCCCATCTCCATCTCTGCTGAAGCAATCCTATTTCACACACTACCCTACTTAGTAAATCCTTTTATTTAAGGCCATGTTTGCTTCCCTTCCTTAGTTAGAGAGTGATGAAATCAGCTGGAATCCCTGCTAAAATGTTTTCCTCATGCTACTAAGTAGTCATGGAGAAGCCAGACGAAACATCAGAAAACAATTTATTTTTAGCATCCGCACCACTGCACGTTGTCCTTACCCAGTGGGGGAGTCAGAATTTTAAGGTCCCTCCCAACCCAAACCATTCCATGATTCGATAAAATTGCCACCATAATGCCATTTTGGTGTCGAAATCAGAATCTCAGATGAGTTTGGATGACATGTCACAGCTGTTCAGGCTTTCCTGGTGGCAGCACAAATCCTCTTGGAGCACTGTCAGCTGCTGTCCTTTCCACCCAAGCTCGGAGTGGAGGGGGTTAAATTTGCCCACAGTAGTGTTCTTTAAATGCTGGATGATAAATCTGTTGGATGATACATCTGCCTGTTAATTGTAGAACACATTTAACGTTTTATCCATTTTCAAGGAGGTACAACCCATGCCTTTGTTGAGGTCTTGAAGTCTTCCTGAGGGCAATAATGGTCCATTCTGGTGGGTCAGGCAGTGGCAGTGGAGAAAACATCTGGAGAGGAGCAAGCAAGCAGCCTCATGCCACCGAGTCTCCTCTCCAAACCAAAGCCATACAGGAGGTCTTCAACAAAAATGGGTGAAAGCGAGCCATGGTTGCACCTCGAAACCTCTTGAGAGGACATGACAGCACCTCCCTACAGAAGGGATTCTTCATTTCTTGATAAGAAATAGTGACTCCAAGGCTTGTGAGTCTCTCCCATCCTGCTCTGGGTGCTGGGCAGCAAGGGAGGAGATGACATCTGTGCCCTGGTTGTCAGGCAGCATCATGTCCTGAGTTGGCATTGGCGCTGCTGGAGGAGGCTCAGAGGGGAGTGGTGCAATACTTTTCCCATTAATCATTTACCATGCAGTGACGTTTTCTGCAGCAGAAGGGAATGGGCCTAGTGCACACATTTTGGTTTTCCACAGTATTACAGTGACTTGGT